CATCCATGTTCTGGCTGCTTGCTCACATCCCTGTATTCCAATCCATGCCCTACAAGCTGCGTTGCCAGACCTACTCTCAGCATCATTGCAGAAAGCCACAGCAGTGAAAGGAGTGATCAAGTCTAAGAACTGCTCACAGTGGTTTCACCTCAGAAGCCAGAAAATCCTGGAGTGCTCTCAGAAGCATGATGTGCCCACACTCAAAGTCTGCATCTGTACCAAATTGCAAGATGGGGGAAGATGTGTCTGGTTATGCTCATCTCATCTACTTACATCTAGAATCTAAATACTCATTACAGGGCTTGAATAAAGAGTATCTGAATAGCCTATATTTAACTCATGATAATGACAGGTGCTACATTCTGTAACTGTGCACTCTGCCTATGGAGTGCTTTCCTTTCTATCTTTAGATGCTTGCAGCCTCTGTGTGTACAGGTCAAGCCAAAGCAATGGAGTTTGTTCTGCTGTTTATTATAGAAACAGTCTCAGGTCATTCATAAGCAAGATAATAGTACTGCTTTTATGGTTTTATGCCACCTTGAAATGTATATTTCATTTCTGTAGTGTCTGGAAAGCTTTGCCAGCTGAAAATTGCTACAAAAATTATCAGGTTTTTAATACATTTTGAGTTTTTACTTTATTTTGTCAGATGAGAGAACTGATTCATCACTGAACCCAAACATTGAAAGACCAGTGCACATACAGTGAGTCTGGTGACCGTGTACATACCCATTTTTTGGAGAATCGTATTTGTATGTATGTGAAAACAGATTAGTGGTTAGTTTCTGCCCCCGATTACTGAAGATAGGATGTATAGGAATAATCAGTAGCTGAGCAGGTAGGGCTTTTATGGAGGACACTTTAACTTGTGCCTCTGACCCGGTTGATTTGCTTGTATGAAACAAGATAATTCCAATAGGAAAGACAGCATAAATTAGCCAGTATGTGACGTTTGGGATATCTCCTTGTAGCCCAGGCAGTGTCACTCTGCCAGTGCCTCCATTTCCCAAACAGGTACATGAAGTATTTTGCAATAAAATACTTCCAGCCCTGCTAGTCACAGAGAAGAGAAAAATTGTTTTTCTGGTTATCTACACACTGAAATAGTGGCAACATTGTTTTGATCATCAACAAGATGAGCAGTGGCATGTATCCAGCTCCGGTGCTGAAATACTCTGTCAATACTGTGGAGGTAGTGTGTATTTGATAAAAGCAGACCTCTTCCCCCCTTTATGAAGTTCAAACCATTCTTAAAATTCACACAGAATATGTGGGCTGATCACTGCAATAGCTAAATGTGGCATTCTTAGCCTCTAATTTGTGCTGCTAATTAACGTAGGTTTGGAGGGCTCCAGACAGGTCACGTCAGATGCAGCAGACGTGTGCCAGTACAACTCCTCTGAGAGAAATCCTCCCTTTGTCTGTCTGTCTAGGCAGGGGCACGCTGTCCCTTGCACTGCATGGGCTCCATGCTCACAGTTATACTATGGCATGGAGCAAGAGACCTGCTAAAGAAATGCGTTGGGTAAAAAGGCTGCTGTGCTGACACAGAAACCTTCCACTCCTTCACAGCTGCCTGTGTATCTATACTGCCCCTATTTAGCTTTAAAAAATATCCTAACCATAGTGCAAGACCAAGTTTTACTTTAAATGCCATCCATCTCTACAGATGATGACAAAGTTGCAAGGATTTCAGAAACTCTTGGCTGTCCCAACATCAGCCGTGTAGCATCTGTGTGGGTGTGTGGGATAAACTGAGGTGACTGAAGATCGGCAGAAGCAACGTGTTGAGGCAATGCACATGGAAACTTGATAAAGTACCCAGGACACATGCAGTTCCTTCCCATTTCCTTCAACAAGGGCACAAGCAGGATTGTCCCAAATCACCCATAAGGGACCCACTAGAGAGGTGAGGAACCACTTTAAAGCAAGTTATATGGGTAGCTAGTGACTTCCAACTTAGAGACTCAGCTATAGGGCCTGTGGGTGCAGACACTAGTGCTGTTTTTCATTTCTCTCAATTGCTTTTTGAACTGGGATGATTAGAACTGAGTGTGATGCTCATGGTGCAAGTGCACCATGGATTTGTGTAGTGGCAGAACTGTCTTTTCCATTTGGTTCTGAATCCCTTTGCTGACATTCGTCCCCTTTTTAACTGCAGGTAAATTTTGCAGTGTTATCTTCAAAGGGACATCCATAGTAATCCCAGGTCCCTTTTGGAGTAGTGAAATGAGATGCCATCCCTGTCTGAATATATTAGGATTTCTTTCCTCAAACTGAAGAAATATACATTATTTTGTATTTCCAACACTGGATTTCATTTATCATCTTATCATCCTTTTGCAGCTTTCATTTTAGCTATTTTGAAATATCTAGAGATGTAATTTGCACACAGTGTCACCTGCATATTCATCCTCTTGTCTGAATCACTTCAGACCATTTCTGTCAAAACAATAAGATTCCAACAAGGACTCCAGCTGAATCACTCCAATAATGCTAACATCTACTCCTAATCTCCATTTCTCCTTCAGAGACTTACTGATGTATGAGACCTCCTCTCTTACCTCATCACAGCTTGCTTTTGTTATAGGTTTTGATGAGAAAACTTCTCAAAAGCTTTCAGAAATTTAATACATTAAATCACTAGATAGTTATTGATACACAGTCAGTGACCCTTCAGCTAACTCCAAAATATTTATGAGGCACACCACCCAACATTTTCTTAGCTCTAATGTCTCCTTGGCCTACATTTATTTCTCTTAGTCTCAGATTCCAACTATTCTGCTAATTTTATGTCCTCTCTTTAAGGGTTTTTGAAGGTTGCTTTACACCCACAAATATCTTGAACTTGAGTTCCACAGAGACAAGGTAAGAAACAAGATTTGCACGTTGAACTAATGAGACACAAAAGTTACACATAGATCTAAATTTTGTTCACTGCCCAGGATTAAATCAAGAACTGTTACTCCACTTCTGGATTCTCTGATTAGATTCAAACATATTTGGTGTCTGACAATGTAAGCACAATGTAATAATTTACATTAATACTAAATTTATAATGGTTATAATTTACATTAGCTAACAATATATATATACATTGTGTATAATATATTAATGCTAATACATAATGACAGGTGTTATGTCATTATGTAATCATATAAAGTTAAACCACTGATAAAAATACTAGCTATTAAGATGCACACAAACTGTAAACTACATCAAGACTATTTCAAATAGCTGAACCCTATTACCAGGAATATTGAAGGAAATGATATATAACCCTGTACATCAAATCACTAAAGAACTGAGTGAATATATCTTAGCTAAACAAGGGGACCACAGATCCCCAAATTGCTTTGGAAGCTGACAGACTACCAAGGAAGAAAAGGAATAGTTAGAATGGTTATATAAAGCAAGCAACTGCATTAACTCAAGAAAAGGAAGGAATACTTCAAGTACCAAAAGAACTCATACTATGTGCCAAAGGACTATATTCTGTATGAAATATTAATATCAGCATTCATTTGTGAATCTTAAAATGCTTCAAACAGAGCACGTATTATTTTTCTTTGTAAACTACCATGCTGATAGTTTATTTTTTTTTTGTCCAAATCATCAAGAAAGCCAATAGTACAGCTGAGAATTAATAAAAGATTTTCTGACTCTCAGTTCGTATCATAACTAAGAGGCCTGTAGTCTGCTTCTTGCACAGAAGCAGGCTGCAAGCTTCAAAGATTCCTTTGAGGTGAAATAGGTATAATAAAAAGCTAGTTTATACCAAAATTAGTGATCTTGGATTCTCCTGTTTTCACAGGCCCAGCCTGAGCCACCTTTCAATAACCTTATTTTTCAGATCGTGAAAAGTGTTCTCCAGTCAGGCATGTGAAAGCTTACTCACCCCTAATCACCAGTCATCTTTTCCACATGTAGTCTGAGAGACACTCCTTATGGCTAGCCTGGGACACTTCACAGTAACCTAATCAAAAGGGAAATTGCTCATACTCCAGTTTAATACTCGATTATTTCCTTTAAAAAAACAGTTACAAGTCATTTGCCCTCATCTGTGGGAATGTTTTAAAAATAGGTGCCTATTAAACTAACCAGTTTGGACAGCTTTTCATCCACTCCATCCCTGGAAAGACTTACCTCCAGTTACGCTGCCTCCAAGGGAACCATCACACAGGTCACTTCTAGAAGTTCTGCTTCAAAGAGAGAATCCCTGAAGTGAACCATCGGCAAATTAGCAAAGTAGCATTTGCCAGGTCTGCGGCAGTGCTTACGAAAGAATTGCTTATGGTGATACAGATCCAAAAATAGATGGTACCAGCTTCACAAAGGGAAATTACATGAGCTCCTCAACTCTAGAAAATCAATATAGAAATCTAGTGCAGGATATTCCCATTGTACAAAGGCTGGGTAAACACCTTGAAGATAATGCCAGACATTGGTATTATGCCAGTTCTTGCAGTTGCAGATATACGCCAATGCATCTGTCCCCCTGCAGTGGAAGTAACTCACTACTCAACCACCTCTCTTCCCAAGTTCATATTTACTCCAGGTGACCCTGCTTTCCAAGTCTTTTATGGTTTAGTAATACAGTCAGAACCTGCTCTGCATCTCTGTTCCACCAGAAGTTGTACTACCTTCTTATTTTCGGTGAAGAAATGTACTTGTGGTAACCTGTGGTGTTTGTTTTTAAGACTGTTCTAAACCAGTCCTTGTAAGGAAACTAGCTTAGTAGATACCTTCCTCAGAGATAGCCTACAATCAATGAAAAATGTTGGGTCCTCAAAAAGGAAATTCAGAGCCTAATCTATAACCCCTGCATCACCACCTAGACAAGTCTATTTCTCTCCACTGACTACAAAGGCTCTTAAGCATCATCTCAGTTTGGTATGTAAATACTTCAGGGTGCCTAACATGTAAAAAGGACTGCGGATAACAGCAACAGAATTAAAAGCAAGTTATGCAATGCAAGCAAAAAAAATGACAGAGCTTACTCTGAACACTTTTTCCACCCTTGCAATACCCTTCCCGAAGATGGTTCCAAGTTGGTCTCCAATCCCAGCCAGCAAGAAGCCAAAGAGTGGAATTCCAAAGATGGCATACAAGATGCAGAAAATCTTGCCTCCAACTGTACTTGGGGCAATGTTTCCATACCCTGTAGAGAAAAAAAATTATCAGAAACTCAGAACTTATACACACCTTTTTAGAAAAACGAATGCGCTGTTCCTGCAGAGATGCCTTTGTTCCAAATCTAATTCCTACTTACCGTTTTCCCATGGCATGATGTCACTTCCCAGACAAGCTACCCACTGAGATTTCATTCTTTGTTTGTAGCCTCAGTTACCCATATTTTCTATAGATTCAGGTCCTACCTAAAGTTGTTTTTTGATTAATTAATCTAGTTTGACTTATCGTGGCACAAAAATCACTCACTGCTGGCCTGGTGCCTGCACTCTGCTGCTCCTCTGGGGCTCTGCCAATTATGTCCTGACAAGAGTGTGATTTACCTGACAACACTCATTTTCAGTGGTTAGTTCATAATTTCCTCACCCATTCTCACCCGGATTAGTGTAAAGCAAACGTGCTTGTACTGCCTCTTAAAGCCACAGGAAAGCATTTGTCAGAAAGACTGTGCAACATATACGAAGAGAGGAGAATGCACTTAAGAACAGGAATACGGGGAATACATAGTATAGTCCTGTTTAACTTCAGGCCAGAGATGGTTTGATTTGAAGGTGATCCAGAGACAACATGATTGTAATAACCAGCTCCGTAACACTGACACTGTATACATCCCTCTATCATGGGATGGAGAAAAGGCTACACTGACACCTTCCCTCCACCCACAGTGCCTTTCATGGCAGCATCTGTGATCCCAGATTTCATCTAAAAGTCCAGGAAAATACAGGCACCACCAGCCAGTGGACTGAGGTTGACCAAGTAGTCTGCTGAGTGTCTGCACAAGAACTCTAACAGGGCTCTGGTGGATAAAATAAAATTATTTTCATGCCCAGACACAATATGTAGTCTTTATGCAGCCTATAAAAATCTCATTCATTGAGAACTTAAAGCAAATATGGGCAAAGATCCAAGCTCTTTTCAATAAGTTATTTAAATAACAGATGTCAATGAATATGCCTACATAAACTATGCCTACACAGTGGCATTTATTTTAATAAGTAATTTTAAAGCTTGTCACTTGGGTCTATTGAGTAAACAAATATTTAGGGAAGGTTTCTTAAACATTTGATTCAGAAATGTTTCCTTTATCTCCACCCCCTGGTTTTATGATACCATTAAAAATACATGGTAATGTAGCTTAGCATATCGAAGAACACACAAAGGAGTACAGTCTGTATGATCATTCTTTCACCCTCATTCTGACAACAAAGTAAAGGCACAAGACTCCACTGTTTGAGCTGACCATCACAGCAAGTCTTGCAACAGCAACAGGATATTTTGTTGTATTAGCTGTGTAAAGAACTTGAAGAATTCAGTTAGATTCTCACAATTTAATGGAGGGTTATGTCAGATAATTTGTCCATACTGTCACTAGTGTGTGCATCACAGTCAAAATACAGAAAAGCACTTTATCCTATATTTAAATCAGAAGAATACTCAAAAGCAATACAAATAAAAATCAAAAATTAGCTCATGATTTCTGAATAATGAGATCTCTTGACCTTTAACCAAGACAGCACTGAAATACTGAAATCCAGCTTAAAATTATCAAACTACTATAAAATTATCAGGAGGTTAACCTTATCATCAATGTTATCAGTTTATCTTTCTTTTTTTTTTTTTTCCTTCAGACCATCTTCTGAAATCCAAGCTCCTAAATAACCTTCAGGAGAGGAACTGCTACACAGAGGACAGGACAGAAGCCGTAGCACATCTAAACTGAGCATTCAGAGATCAAGAGGCTAAGTACATTGGACACAACGTATAGGGGACACAGATGACAAGGGCCTGAATAATGAATTTACTAAAATGAGTGGCTCAAGAAAAGTAAATGGAGTTTGTCAGAACACCTTTCATGTAATAGAGACGAATGTAAAAATATTTCAAGGCCAGAAATTCTAGAATGGCAAAAAAAAAAAGTTTCTACAATTCATGGAATTCTTTCCATTAAGGTATTATTAGTATGAAAGCTAGGTAGGATTTTAAAATAGGATGTGATACTTCTGTGATTACAGTTTCACTTACAATAAGTAAGGTATAAGAAGAATTGCTTATAATAAACCAGAGCATAAGCATAATTGATTTACTTAGGAAGAAGGTTACTCCTATGGGTAAATTATAATATTAGACGTCAAATTCCCAACAAGCATATACCAGTTATTTCATCTAGTGCTAATTCTTGATCTTTTCAGTGAAAATTAAGACCATCTGCATTAGCATTAAGAAAAGGGTTATAAAACCTTAGCTACATCAGTGCTACTTGTGTTCAGTTCAGCATTGCTATTCTATCCTAATTATGGAAACAGCTTCTAATATATACCCAGAGGCTCAATGCCTCTAATACACACCAGAGGCACACCTTCTGAGAACTGAGAGAAATATAGATTTAGTACAGAAATAAAGAAATCACTTTGTTTCTTTGTGATCTTCCTCCAATTTATTTCACCATAAATCTCTCAGTGTGACCATGTATTTTAAAAGACAAACATAAACATACCTATTGTTGTGATGACCGTTCCAGCAAAGAAAAAGGCACTTCCGAGGTCCCAGTGACTGCTGTTGTTAGAAGAATTTCCTATGGGACTGACTCCCGCATTATCTGCATCAATAGCATGCTGCAAAGAAAAAACAACAAATCAGCCTTATACATGCCTTACCATATCCTATGCAAGTCAGTATAGGCTCCAAAAATAAAGTTATAGGACCACAGAAACAGCTTAGATTTACTTTTTAATACGTGCTTGGAGTAATAGTAGCATCCTCTGTATGCAACATCTGAATATATGACTGAACTAAATAGATACTAAGGTGGAAGAAAAACACAATTTGTTAGATAAATCACAAAAAGATACAAAGCAGTTGAGAAGCAGAGATCCAAAACCACAAAGAGATACATAAATACTGTTCTTGCAGCAGTAACTGCAAAAGGAAAAAAATTCCCCGTTTGAAGCAGAAAGAAGGGTGGCAAATACAAATAATGTTCATGAAGTCAACTGAAGCTAGTCAGCCAAGGATTTTAATCCCCAGATAATTAATAATTGATGAAGTTATTTATATTTTATGCTAACTAAAGTAATATATATATATATATATATAGGCCATTTAAAATGAACAAATAGGATAGCTATGAAAACATCATGTGATTAGGGATTGTGGGGTGGAGAATGGAGATGAAGGGAATAGGGGACTTTTGCCAGTATCCTATGGCTGATAAGAAGGGGTCACTCATGCCCCTTCTAGCAGTGAATTAATGTGAATTTCAAAGTCAGCTTAAACCAACATGAATCTACACCATGAAGACACAACTACACCAGCTGAAAAATACTATTTCCTTGGGCTAGTATCAGCTAATCTGCTTCGCAGTTTATTCATCGCATTGCCCCACAAACACTAGTGCCATCATAGGGAAAGGAGTTGGAGAAGAGAAGAGGCACATGAACAAGAACAGAGGCTAGGTGTATGTAAGGAGATCAGTACAGGATAGCCCTTTTCCACAGTCATGCTGCTACATGTCAGGCTAAGCTGATTGTGAAATACAGCAGGAGCAAAATCCAAACTGGACTGGTTACATTTCATGTGGGCAGGAAGCCAGGGCTCCTCAGTGCCTATCCATACTTCTAAGAAATATGGATATAGGGAAAGGAAGTGTTTAGGACTAAACCCTTTGAAAGGTTTTCTGTATTAGTTGCTGACATACTGCAAGCGCTGTGAAAGCAAAGATCACTTATTTGTTTACCCAGAAGAGCGTAAATCAGCATAACAGACAGGTTGCCTGTTTAAATAGGCCATGACACGCTGTCAGCTACCCTGTCACCTTACTTCTGCCAAGGAATGCTGGTTGCCTTCCCCTTTGAGTGTGTGAATGTCATCGAGCTAATTACAACACTTTAAGCACATTTGAGTTTACACAGTTTAGCAAGTCTTTTAGGGCCAAGCACTAACTGTTCAAGTTAAGGAGTGTCCTATTGCCTTAGGTAGCTTTGAGCTTCTCAGGCTCCCTTCGTCGTCCAGAACAAAACAATTTTTTTCTTTAAAGCTTGACATCATTCATTTATAAATATCTAACTAAGCTAGGCACTGGCACAGGCTCCCCAGGGCAGTGGTCACAGCACTGAGCCTGCCGGGGTTCAAGAAGCTTTTGGCCAATGTCCTCAGACATACGGTCTGATTTTGGGGTGGTCCTGTGTGGAGCCAGGAGTGGAAGTCGATGATCCTTCTGGGTGACTTCCAACTTGGGATATTCTACTCCGATGCATCTGTTAAATGCGTGGTATTTTGTATATAGTGCAGGATATACTAGGAGGACAAGAAATAGGCAATAATACCAGACTAGCCCTGCAGTCACCAGCCCTTAAATATGCAATTTGGGGTCATGTGATGATTAAAGACTGCCTTACCACCACCACCACCACAAGTTCACCTACACAGATGTATCCTGCTAGATGAAGAGTCACACAAAACTCAAAGACTCTCCCACTTCATATAGACCATGACATTTTACAAGTTTCCCATCTGTGGAAATTCAGACTGGTTTTGCAGCATAACCTGAAGAGCCACCTTATCCTGGAGTAGGGGAAGAACCAATTTCCAGAGTACTAACAGCTCTGTTAGCAAGCTCTCCACATTCAAGACATTTCAAACTACTTGTTTCAGATATTTTTATAGTTTCACTATAAACTCTTCACTACAAAGAGTTTCACTCTTACTCCTTTTCTGATCCTTTCTTCCTTCTCCAGTGGAGTTGCATACACATTGCACAACATTTAAAATACTTTTTATGAATCCTTCTTTAATGAACATTTATTAATCATTGGTAACTTTTCTTATGAAATGCCTAGGGAATCTAGGGAAGGCATTGACATGAAATATCTTAAAGGGATGAAATTGTCTTTCTTGCTCCTTGAGTAATGGATGTGTTCTAAACCCAATTCACAGATATGAGTGAGGGAAATGACAAAATTTCCAAACAAAATCCAAGTGTTCAATTTTATTTAAAATAAAAAAACAAATAAATATGACTTAAAAAAAAAAAAAAAAAAAAAAAAAACAGAGTTTAGTTCCCTATCATTGTACAGATGTGTATTTTACTCTTGGCCCCTTAGGCATCAGCACACTGCAGTCCCTCAGTCTGTAGTCCCTCAGTAACTGAAAAAGCCTGGTCTGATGAATTTACATGGGACTGAAGGCAGACCCCACAGCAAAAGCCCAGCATAGGTGGTGATACTGAGATGACCAAGTCCTATATAACTAAAGAGAGTTCAGTCCAGACTCCATCTCCATCTGGAACAATCAGTTCCACCTGTCAATTCAGGCAGTAATGTTTAAAGGATATGAGGCATGGGCCCACACTAGGCTGTCTAGTTCTTAATATACAGGACTCCAAGTCCAGTGAAGTTCATAGTGAACACTGACTTTCCTCATCAATTGTCCTGAGTTCCTCCTCTGAACAGAAGATTGAAACAGTATTTTTTGTATATGGATAAATTCAAGAATACTCTCCTCATATTAACAGAAACTGCCAGGGTTTCACTGTGTCAGTCCTTGCCCTAGCAATGCTATATGAGTGCTGGGTTCCAGCCCCCCGTGGACAGGTCTGTGCCCTGCCCTGTCACAGGCTCCTCTGAGCTGGGGCTTGATCCACAGGCTGATGTGACCGCCTGGCCTGGCCTCAACCACCCCCATCCCCTGGGAGCTGGGTGCTATTCCTGGCCACCCCCAGCCTGCTGCGCCTCTGGCTGGCAGTGGTGGGGTCCACGTCTACTGCCTCCTAGGGTGCAGGTGGCCCTCACTGTGCCACAATTCCCTCAGCCTCTTTGGCACGAGTGAATGCCAGCCTTAGCCTTCATTAAAGTATTAGATACTTTGATCAGTAATTAAGACAATTAACTCAAGAAAAAATCTAGAGTCATGCCCATAGGCAACAAGATAGCTGGGAGCTACTGCAGTTGATGAGGAGACAGGAATCATGCAGGCTGTTTCTGGCTTCTCTGGGAAGAAACACTTTTATCTGGTTCATTTGTTCATGTTTCTTTAATTTCTCCAGTACACACCAAGCATGAAGAAGACAAATCTTTTCCAAATATGAGCATAATACTATTATATTATTCTTGAGTGCTGAGCTACTCAAAAGATGCACCCCAAGTGTATCCAAGGGTAGGAACTGGGTAAGAACAGAAAAGAAAATTTGTCATCTTTTTTTTCTAGTGACATTAATTTGTCTCCACAGAGATCAGGCTAATCCAATAATGATTATATCCCTCCACAATTCTTTTCCAAGCAGATTCCTATCATGCATACAAAAGGTTGTTCCAATTGCCTTTCATGCTCAGATGTTCCTCTATTATGATTATAAAGATGCTTCTCATTACTAAGCAGCTTTTCAAGACTAATTCCTTAATAACTTTTCTTTATACTCCCTACATCTCTCAGTCATCTTTCTCACTAGACCTTATACAGTGATTAAGGGATCCTCATTATAAACTCCCACACTTTTCCACAACAGAATTGTCCAAGGACTAAGGCCAGCAAATTTTTTAAGGTATAATAAAAAGTAATAGGTTTTAAGAGTCCATCCCTTACAGCCATTTCTGCCTATACTATAAAGGTCTTTAGGTAACAATCAGCCAGATAGTGATCTACATACATTTATAAAATGATTTGATTGTCATGCATGCACTGTTCCAGAACAGTGCCAAGGATCAGTCTGAATAGCAGACCTACAGCATTCAACAAGGGACATGCACAGAGACCTAAGTTCAGAGGACTTAGCTCCCTGCAAATGCCTTAGCTAATTTCGGGAAGCAATGTAGCTACATAACAGCTACAGTGTTCTGCAGCATCCTAGGCTCAGTCTGTCTCCTATACAAGCACTACAATCTCTGGACTGAAGTCACAAACTAAGATGCCTGCACCTACTTAGACATGATGCAAGAGATCTGGATTATTTCTTTACATCACTTTAGGGTGAATGATGTATAACAAAGATTAGGGTCAGAAGGGAAGTTGGGACATAGAGAAGACAGCCTCCAGAGGCAGAGGAAGAAGGTTCAATAATTCAATAATCAGATATTTACCATTGTTTTTCTTCACAGCACAGTCTTTTCCTGTCTTCAGCAATACGCAAATCTTCCCCACAGTTATCTCAAAACACTTTTTTTTTCTGCTCCATCTAGAGCTTTCTTCTAGCACATGAAATGCATTCAAATTTTCTTCATTTTACAATGCAGCAGACATTGAAGACTGAGAAGACAAGCAGGTTTATAACTCTAGTGAACCTGCTGAGCAGCTGAAAACTGCAATATCTTCGCAGGATGTTTTCTCTCTTGCTTACCTTCAGGGGAAAAGTAGTTCAGAACACTAATCAAAAGTGCCTGCCCAAGATACAAACTCTTACTAATATAATTAGCCAGTAAAGTCTGACTCACTTATTTCCAACTCCACTTCCTTTTCAGCTTACAGACTAACTCATTAGAGTTGCTGTAGTCATTAGTGGACATGGATAATGTGACTTAGTTCCCAGGTGGGTTATTTAGAAAAAAAAAAATTAACTACAATCACTCATACTCCTAAATGAAACCCTTGAAGGAAGAAGAAAACAGGCCACCAATAAACTAAGTAACTTCTTACAGTAGCAAGTCACCCTCTCGTACATCAAGGTGAAGGGCTCATAATGAAAGTATGGCTCATTACAAAAGCTTTTACCCATACACAGTGCACAGGCTACACAGAAAAAGAATGTGAATACCCTTGTCAGGTCCATAGGAATTACTTTGCCAAAACATGTTAGTAGTCTTCCTGCATGCCTCTCCTAGTTAGAGATGACATATTATCTTACTGAGAACACATCAAACCTCCAAGTGGGCGTTATTACAAAGGCAAGGTGACTTTTTTGACCCCAGCTTGTCATAAGCATATGCCACGCCATGAGAACAAAAAAGTTTCATGGTATCATGTTAGCACCTGTAATAGTAATGTTTGTTTGTTTCTTCCAACTATATGACCAGTTACTTGAGTCTTGCTGCCTTCTGTTATTTTTCCATACGGGTACAATACAGATACAGCTAAATTCAGTTGATGCAACTGAAGTTTCATTCTCTTTTAGCATGTCCTAGATCTCCCTTCTCTCTCACTCTTCAGAAAACTCATCTTCAAAAGTACTGAGATAAAGCACCTAATTTTATCATTTGCTTATTCTGGCATTCACCATTGTACTAAATAGTAGATCACATAAGGCATTAAATAATTAATTTTTTCCACCACAACAAAGGTCTTCAGGAGCAGAAATTAGGTTTAAAAGTGCACAGTGTAAGAACTTCCACTTCAAGTGGCTTGAGACAATGTAGACTGCACTTTATAGGCAGAGAAAAAATCTGTCATTGTGTTAGCATTAGAGAGAGACCTGGACTAAGCCCAAGAGATAAATACAAATTTAAAATACCTTTGATATAGATTTGCATCTTCCTTGGCATTTACACTGCTTTTATCACCATATTACTTATTAAGTCTATGAATGAACTTCATTCAGACATTCATATGTCTGGACATAGCATTATCGTTAGGGCTATTCACATTTGTGCAATCTGTGCCAGTATTTGCAATTGGCTATTGGAGATCAGTTTAGAAAGCAAGTCTTATCCACAATGAATTTTTCACAGCTTCATCATACAGTGCCATACATCTTCCTTACAGGTTTTCCAAAGGAAAATACTTTGAAAGATTTAAATTTGGGCAAAGGGGTAAATTTTTCCTTTACTAGCCTTGCAAAGACAGTCCTTTCCTCTTCTCCTTAAAAGATTCTTCCAGTCACATCCATAATAAAGGATATAAAACAATTATAAACTCTCCTTTTTTGCAATTTTTCCTTGTTCTCCAAAGCAGAGCGCTCACTGAGCATAGTCATTCTTCTGAGTGCTATCTGTGTTCATCTAAAGGCTGTCAGGTAGTCAGATGACATTAATAACAAATAGCTCTCAGTCAGATAATGAGTACACACAGCACAGCAGCCAGGACCCATAGAGGTTGCCACATCTGTCTGAAATCACAGCTGTAAAGGCAGATGTCACATTTGGTGCAATGAAGTAATCTATTCTGCCAGCTAGGGAGATGTCACTTTTGAGATCTTTGACATGAAGGCATGAAAGCACAATGTTAACACCCTGACATTACCTTTGAAGGGTGGTTCACTCTTCTTCTGTGCAAATCAGTAACAATCAGAGTGTTCTGTACCAGCAAACCCAAATACATCCCTAGAGCCAGGTTCACCCTAGACCCACAGAAAAAATCCAAAGGAAGTTGTTCTTTATTGACAAATGAAGACAAAATCACATCACTTGGCCTTAAGACATTCACATGTTAAGCCGCTGAACACATTTAATTTACCTTTGCAAAAGATTTCCAGTTACCCAGTGTAATGCCTGAGGACATAGTGAAATCTCAAGAGATGATAAGATTTGTTCAGAATACCTGCCTTCTAAAGACACAGCATGCCTGTTTATTATTTTAATATCATCACTTCTGAGGTGAAAGAAAGAAAATATATTGTGTAAAATAAAAACTAAAAAGTGCAAACTGGTACATAGCCTAGCTTAGAGAAGAGGGGCTATTTAGAAGTCTTTGTACTGCTGTCTGTTTTCAGGAGTCTATCCTCATGTTGAAGTGCTTTGCTTGTCATACCTAATGTGCATTCTGCTTTCTGCTATAAAAAGGAAGCATATTGCATATCTTTGAATAGTGACGTTTCCATCAAGGAAATACAAACTTCTTCCTTTCCATATTAACAAACAACCTGTAATCAGCCAGCATACATCATACCTAAGGAGGTGAGGGAAATGCTGATCTCTGCAGAACTGCCATGAGAAATGCATGTGAGCCAATACCCCTGACCAGAAGAATTCACACTGCAAACCAAGCATGTTCACCTGTCTTTTGCAGACAGATGAAGGATGTGATCCAAGCCAGCCCTGATTCAAAAGCTGTATAGGCACATCAGTACAATACCACTTCCTGTTGAAGCAGGTTTGGCTCAAGTACCAGACTGAACATACACAGCTTCTGCCTCAGAACTGACCTGACTTCTGTGAACACAGAGCACAGGCAGGGAGAACCCACATTTATCTGCAAAGAAACAGAAAGATTTTGTTTTGCTTAGGAGAAGCAGAAAGGTATTATTGTCTGCACACAAGGGCAAGGGAGAGGAATCAATTAAGCAACAGGGGGTTGGCTGTGGAAGACCAACTACAATGAAACAGAATTAGTATAGGCTGAAAACTAGGAGAATGTTTTTGCCATCACAGCAATGAGATACTGGAACAGGTTTCTAACAGAAATACTATGCTTATAACACCTTTTAAAATGAAGTTCAATTCACATCTAGAAAGTGTTATATAGTATGGCTGGGTGGACAGACACAACACTCCAGGGGACAGCTCTGTGTTCTTCAAAACAGAAGCTGAAATCACAATGGAGCCCTGGTACAACACCCCAAACCAAAAACAGACTGTGCTGTTGGAACCCTTGGATACAAATTCAGGTCTGAAATATGAGGCTGAAGTTCAGCTTTGGTGTTGGAAACTGTTGGAATACATTGGTTCAGTATCTCACATTTCTTATCCAATCTCCATTTTCTCCAGGCTAACTGATAGGTTTCCATATGGGAACCTAGAGGATACTATACTGGATCTCATGAGTGAGATCCATATTTTCCTTGTCTAGAGTTTTAATCAACGAAAGGTAACTTTATCTTTGGCAGACCTGTCTTGCATGATATTCTATCCTTCATTATCCCAACATATTGGGTATTTACTTCCTACAAGATTTATTTAAAACTTTTCATATTAAGCCAGATCTAAAAATCTGTAGTTCTTACTTGCAGATTGTTTTCTATTTTTAATTGTATGCATTCATAATCATTACCTAAAATTTTTAATAGAAAACCTGTAAATTAATGTTCTAGAAATTCCAAAATTCTTGGCTGAATATTTATTTCAAAAGTCTCAACTACCATTTTCTGTTGCCTCTCCTGGTTGCTGTGTTTCATCTTGGAGGAAGAATTGGACTTGATATTGTTTGGAAATGTATGGAGATAGGCAAATGTTTTGAAAATGTGTCATGTCTCACAAAAATATATTCCAGATATTAAGTTCTGATTTTCTTTGCACATGTTTTTCATTATTCTAGTGAAGACATTTAATTTCTATTTACAATATTCTGGAGACAACATTTCTGTTTCCAGGGCTTTAAAACGACTGAGAAAGGGACTGATCTTCACTGTGCCCATTATGTGTTTTTTTCCCCACTGCACTAGGCAAGGCCTGTGAACGATGTCATTTCCCACCGACTCAGCTGCTCAACAATCTCCCCAGATGTTCACCCTAATGTCCAAGAAATACTGCCATCTCCACATCCCTACCTGGATCAGTGTCTCCAGCTCTAGCTGGGTTACACAGACGTGTTCCCGAAGAAAGTCAGCCTTCTCCAGCGCGATGGTATTCTTCTGCCTGCTCTCGAAGGGCTGCTCCAGGGCACGGAAAACGAGTCCTCCAGCCACCAAGTAAACTACAACCACGACAAAAATTGCCACCACCGTTTTCCACTTCATGACCGTCTGCAGGCCCTGTGAAGGCGCTTCCATGGTAGCGACAACCGTTGCTCGGGAGGAAACAGAGAGCCGCGGGGCTGCGTAGTGCCCGTTTGGTTTGGGCTCGGGCTCACAAGCTGGCACTGGCGAGGGAACAGTCACTGAAACACAAAGCGAAAGCCTTTACTCAGAACCAAATCCCTAAGGGCATGGATTTGATCTCCATACACAATTTTCCTAAATACCATTTTCAAGTTGCATCAACCATGATATTTGCATAGATAAGACTGTTCTCACCTGAAAGGCTCCACATGCATTTTGCCCATTCATACACAAGTAACTTCATGGGGTTTTCCACCCATGGTTACCTCTAGAATGGCCAGCTGCATAAGCAAAAGCTTCAGAAAGATGCAGAAAATGATCCAACAAGAATATGAAAATTTTTCTAGTTAGGATATACGTTACACAAGGTAATGTTTGCTGGGAGACCCTGGCAAGTATTTGTGTTCCTAAATCATTCTAATAACAGTACTGATGGGCTAGGAAACAAGCCTTGATGACAGGTGATCTCTGCCTAACCTGGTACTGAGAGAAACAGAAAATGCTTTGCAAATCAAAAAGCTGTTTGACACACTAGAAAAAGCAGGCCTGTATTATGCACAAGGATCCACAAAAACACTACTTCTAAAAATCTCCTTAAAGCCTGGAAGCTTCACAAATGTTAGCATAAATCATTCTTCAGCCAAAACATACAGCCACCTGCATGTCAAAGCCACTCACATGCCAAGCATGAAGCCTTGAATTAGGTCTCTTTTAAATTTAAGAACATAGCAGGATATGCCCAAGCTGGTATGGCCTCTCAGTGCAAAACAGAGAATGGTGTACAGTGAAACAAGCACAGCAAGATGGATGGTGGAGCCACCAGCTCGGGACTTGGACACTATGTCCATGTGACCCTAGCACTATATCGGAGCTAATGAGCCCCAACCTTCAGCCACACTTATTAGCTTGACCACTGTGTCAAGCTATCAAGGCATCCAAATCAAAGCTGTCTTGCCTCCAAATAATGCAGGGGTCTCAGCATCACACTTCCATATTCTCTGTTGCTCTGTTAGCAAAGGCAGGATAAGGCCCAGTTCCCAAGCATCCACTGGTATAACGGTACCAAACACAGGCTTTAAAGATCATAGAATCATAGAATATCCTGAGTTGGAAGGGACCCTCTTAAGGATCATCAAGTCCAACTCTTGACACCGCACAGGTCTACCCAAAAGTTCAGACCATGTGACTAAGTGCACAGTCCAATCTCTTCTTAAATTCATTTTAAACCCAATCCTTGCTATAACCTTACCACAGTGCTGATGTCACTGGCCTGTAATTTATTTGAAACCATGTATTTGATTTATTTCATTTCAGACCTAAATCAGATTACAGTTAAAATATAGTCACCATAGCTGCATTCTCTGGACTTGTTCCCAGAATGTCTTTGCTGTTTTGCTCAGAAATTAAAGCAGAAGGGTTTAGAGCATCTGAGCAGATTCTATATAATTTGAACGTACAATGTGATTACACCTTGAGTTTGCAGCAAGCTACAACTCCTTCCCAGTAGAAATCATTTTATGGCACTTAATAATTTAAAGAACTCAGCTATTTACTACAGTCACATTTTCCTAGAACTGATACATCTCTTAAGAATCACATTGAGGACAGAGCTTCCAGCTGAGCTGCTAACCAATAAACTGCATAAATCTATAGTTGATTTACACGTACAGCGAATATTTCTCTTCATATGTAACTTGGAGGCTTCAGATACTAAGCGGATTAAAAAAGACCCAGGATCACAAGAAATCCTCTGTGGTTGATCCACATTCTGTGTTACCTCAGTTTCGCAACACCTAGAATCATAGAATCATTAAGGCTGGAAAAGATCTCCAAGATCATCTGGTCCAACCATCCCCCAAGCATCTGTTGCCACAGCTGCTCAGTTTGACCATCATGAGATTAATGGTTCCCAACATGTATCAGCCAGGATGGAGTGACATCAAACTTAAAAGGATACTTTCTCTTAGATCCACATATATCTCACATAAATTCTACAGATTTGAAGTTACAGTGAGAATGACAGTATTAGAAAGATCACATTTTTTTGGTAAAAGAGATCAAATATTTCATTCTAGACCTCATGAAAGGAAAGGATAATTTTAATTGCTGCAATGAGCTTCCGCAGGAAATATCAGAAAATAATTCAGAAGAAAGGTAAAATGGAGAGGTTGCGTGAAGAAGAGCAGGAAATCTCCCTTCTCTATAGACAAATACCTTCAATCTGAGTTACGACATCTCCTTATGGAACTAAGATAAATTTGAATATTCCCAGAAGTGGCTTAGCTGATGTAAATCAGTGTAACACAACTTCCACTAATTCAATGGAATTAAATCAATTTACATTAGTTAAAGCTTACTACTAGTGTGTGTTATTGTGACTTAACACAAAATGCCCAGATCTGAGGACTGACTTTGCACACTTGAGATTACATGGCAAAATAGTTTCAGGAACCAAGGCTTATGTGGTAAAATGAGGAAAGAATTCATATGACAGAAACAGCATGCTACGATTTTTTGACACAGCTACCTACCTTACCATGACTGGGATAGTCTGGTGTAGGCTGGGGGCCCCTCCAGTGTGGAGAGAGGCCTGACTTTGATATCCCACAAATACTTTGTCTTTACTCATATGAAGTCAAAAGATTTTCCTTTACTTGGGAAGTCAAGAGAGTTGAAACTGCTTTTGTGAGGTTTTTTTGTTTGTTTTGTTTTGTTTTTCTCTCTGCTAATATAAATGCTGTTTCTGATTCAAGTCATAATTCTGGCAAACTGTTAATAACAGCTTTACAGTAAAATCATGGCTTGTTTGATTCTCTCTTTAAAGGAAAATATATTGTACTTATTTAAGAAAAAGATAGGAAGTTCAGGGTAGGGAACATAAAATGTTCTTATAAATATTGTTGCATTTAAACAGCTCAACGGATTGCTGCGCTTGGCTTGCTTACCTCTAAAATAAAAGTTAACTCTTTTCAGAAGAACTGTATTAAAGCCTTTCATTTTCTGCTATTAGTAATAGCTACCCTAAGTGTATGTAGAAATATTGATCCTAAAATATGTTATCTTACATAAATTAAAACACAGGAAGACTCTATCAAAGCAGCTAGTTGAGCAACTGATGTGCAATAAAGATGGTGTTTTCACTATGCTGACACAAAGCACAACTGCAGTCAGCACCCCAGAGATGTTTCAGGATAGATTTAAAGCAGCAGTTACTACTTTAAAGGAAAACCAGTGTAGATACTCTATCTAGCAGTTATCTCACTCTCTACAACAAGAGAGTGAGGTTAGCAACTTGAGCTTATGGAAAGTCAGTTCTGAGCATCCCAAAAAGCCACAGACAGGAAAACCGCACTTAAAAGTTCAGAGTGACAGAGTACCATAAAATCACATCCTGCTAGAAATATAGTGTCATAACAAAAGGGTCAGAAATGCTTAACAGAGCTCCTCTATCTGTAATAGGTTTGGTTCACTGCTTGGAAGTAAACAAATTCATTTCCTGCATTTTGCAAGTTTCTCTAGCATTATGTGATTTGATTACCGGACAAACCAAGAGCACGAGAGAAGAGGATATGTTTATAATAATGCAGAGCAATGTCTGTTTTACTAATCCATGTTTTTTCAGAATAAGTTGTTGTCAGACAGGCTTTTCCCAGAACAGAGTCTTTTCCACGTCCATATGTTAAAATATATCAAAGGAGACTTAATCTGCCCCATTAAAACCAATGATGAATCTCCGTGCATATGCACTCCCTACATTGGTAGACAGGTAGCCTCAAAGAACAGGTACCCTCACAGTAGCACACCACTGTTTTGACACAGGCCTTAACCCTGCAAGAGAAACTTTTGGGTTAGCTTCAAAATAAACCAACTGAAGATACCGTCATTACATGTCAAAAAAAAAAAAAAAAAAAAAAAGAGAGAGAGAGAGAGAAAAGGAGAAAAGAGAGAGAGAAAAAGGTTAGAATCTTTACAGTTGTTCGCCTCTAAGAAGACAACACTACCTGCATTTTGTATGTGTTCTGAACAGCACAACCAGGCTTCCCATTGGTAATATGAGGAGCTTAAATGACTAAGATTTCTGCTAATACTGACAAGAATTAAGGAATCAAAGCTCTCACTCACTGACCATCAAGAAAACTGTGGAAAAATAAAATTCTGTAGTGTAAAACATTGTTGCTATTAAAACAATACTCCATAAGACATTATTACAAGTTAGAAATTGCCCTTTGTTACTGCATGTACATTTCACTTTAGTCATTTCTATGTGGCTGAGAATTAAACTTTTAAGAACCTGACTGCATGAATTAGTAGATTTTCTTATTGCACAAACAGAAACATGATACCACCAGGACACGTCATGTCTAGAAAAGAAAAAAAAATATTACTCCCTAGGGTATATTCTGCATATTTTACAGAGATAAATCCTGTTCTAGCCTATTAGGAAATGACTCATTGATCAAGAAAGGTTTTTCTATTTCCTGAGCTGTCAATTTGCACAATTTATCAGAGGACAGTGCTAATCTGACGTTTTTTTCAAACCACAACCTTGGCAAGGAAATGCCACGTAAATTGCAGCTTTCTTAGCACAGTTGAGGAGAAATACTTGTAAGTAATAATCAGAAGCTGGATGGAGGAAAAGGACTCAAGATATATTTCTTTATAACTTACAGTGTGAATTTAAGAACTTTCCTCACGATATCTGAACAATTGTATTTGTGATTTATAGTAATTTCTAATGTAACCAACATTCAAATGTTGCTCATACTGATGCAAGAGAGTTTGAGGTTGGGCATTGCCAAGGAAGTCTCTAAACAATGGTTTTAAAGCTCTGGAATACATTAAATAAGGGGACTGATATTTCTAAGAAAAGGTTAGACAAACATCTGTCAGAAATAGTTAGAAGTAGCTGGCCCTGCTATGCAGAGTGAGATAGATAACCTGCTATGAGTCCACAAAAATAGTTCTAATTTAAAGGGAACATCTCCAGACAGAGAGAGTCAAAGTACAGCTGCCTCAAAAGGACATCTTCAAATAGAAACCAAGCTGCTGAGAGGATGTC